TGAACCACAATACTGATAAGTGATTAATAAAAGTCAAAAAACCAAAGAGGTCACCTTAATACCAAAAAAAAAAAAAAGTAATAGTATTTAATTAATTAATTAAAATAAAATACCTATGATTGTACTAGTATGACTAGTAGGTTATGAAACATTTGTATAAACTTAGTTATATAAAGAAATACAAACTGGTATTGAGTAGTACAAATTCAAAATAAGTCCTTATAACTATATAAATCTATAAACTAAAAAAAATTAGAATTTACTTAAAAAGACCTAAATAAAAAAGTAATACAGATTTTAATAATATTATTATAAAGATTATACAAGTCAAATGAATAAATAAAGAGTGAATAATAGGTAAATAACAGAAAAAAATCTACCATTATTCTATCTTATATTTACCAAATAATAATAACATAACAGTAATATAATAGTAGAATAATAGTAAATAACAGAAGATTTGTCAATATGAATAACATAATAGTAACATAATAGCAAAATAATAGAACCATTCTATTATTTTACTTTTAGTCTTTGTAACTAAAAATAAAATAATAGAACTGTTTTATTATTTTGCTATTATATTATTATTATGTTACTTATATCAATAAATCTTTTGTTATTTTATTGTTATTTTGTTGTTATACTACTGTTATGCTGTTATTATTTGACAAATATAAGGTAGAATAATAATAGACTTTTTTTTTGTTATTTATCTATTATTCATCCTTTATTTATTTGTTTAACCTGTGTTAGATCAAGAAAACAGATACCAATGTAAAAAAATTAAACAACCAAAAATCTTTAAATAAAAGGTATTATTAACTAAACTATTAAATTGAATTAAAAAAAAATATCAGATTAGACTTAATATACCAAAAACAGATCACAGTCTTTCTGAGTTATTTGAATTGAAAGTCTAAAGATAAAGCAAAGATATACTAAAGTATTAGGAATATGCTATGAAGTTGATACTAGAATTTAAATAAACTTTGTAAAGACATAATCCTGTTAAGATTTTAGAATAAGTAGGTAAATTAACAGAAAAGTCCTTTGCATCTTACTGTTAGATAATGAGCATTGTTATAACCAAGTAATAGTACAAAAAAGGATGATGTCAAACCTAGATGATTCTTAATAGAAAGCAACAACAGGGTCAATTGACCTTAAGATGAAATAGTTAGAGATACTGTATATAAGTACTAATTAGATAAGCCAGAGAGTTTAAATAGAACACTTACAAGCAAAGATCAGGTATGACAAATAATGAATAACCTTAGGGCGAAACTCTTAAATAGACAATGATTAAAATTGTACATGTAATTAACTGTACTCTTACAAACTATGTATGTACTTAGGATATCACTAATTAATAAAATTGCCAGTTTGGCTGAGCGATTGACCACTCATTAACAATAAAAAAAAAAGTGTTTTTTTAAAACAATACAAATTGTGTTCCTTCAATATTATAAACAAACTATTTAAACTACATATTATACAAATTTTATACAAATTAGTTAAGATATTAAAAAAATTTTATTAAAAGCAATTTTTTATTTACTATATAAAAATCTAATATACCATGTAGATCATATGAAAAATGATTCTAATCCTTTAAAATTTTCCTAATCATATTAGGTTCTTCGTTAAAAATCACCATTCAAAATTTTTCAAACAAGCTAATTCAAAAAAACTTAAACCAGAATATTGGTTCTTATTAATATATAAATATCTTTTATATAATTATTGATACTGTACAAAATTTATTCCGAATTTGCCGTTCGAAAAACCTCGAAAGGTGATTTCCTAGTAAAAGTCGTAAAATAAAAAATATGTTCCCAAATTGCACAAAATAATACGATCTAATCTTTTTTATTGTTTATAATCTCCATTGTAATATTATAAAGAGAATTGATATTTCCACATCCTTTTTTGATATTGCTACACTTCTGCTACTCTAAACACTAACCAAAGCTCTAATAATCTATATTGATAAGGGTGTGACAATATCAAAAAGGGTGTGGAGATATCAATTTCCTATAAAAATTATTGTTATAAAATGTGTTATTAAAATTCGCTTAAATAATTTATTTGTTATGGAAGAAAATAAATATGTACCTAATCTATAAACATTGTAATAATATCAATAATTAAATCGATATAAAATAGAAGACTAATATAAGCTAGTTCAGAATTCACGTTAATCTGCTTAGAATAACCCCATTTGGATTGTTTAAAGTTATCCACCAAGGAATGCAACAGAAAAAAAATAACAATAAATTAACCATTGAATCAAATAATAAATTGATTGTCTTCAACAAAATTATTTTCCACAACCACTGTAGTATCTAGAGGATGTTCTGGTTCGTAAAGGCAATTGTACTCTGGTCTAAAAAGATTATCAGATTGCGGATAATAATTATAATTATAAGTTTGCTCATGCAATCGCCATTTACCACGCCGACGATTAAAGTCCAGATTATATATTGAAGTTAAGGGTATTGTTGGATTTGTTAATTGACCTTCCCCAACCATTATTTCGGCTTCTATAGTGTAAGATCTCATTTCATTTACCACACATCTCATCCATCCTTGAATAGTTTGACCTGCATTCACCGCCAATGGCTCTTTCAACAAGAATCTGACTTGCTGCCAATGAGTTCGTTCTGCTGCAGGACCAGTAGACATTGCAATTGTGTTACCAGTAGGAACTGATGACGGTGGTGAAAAATGTAGATCAAACCATCCGGCTATTCCATGAACAATTCCGGTATAAGAAGCTTGCCAGATGAAAGGTATCGTCATGTCTTGAAGTTCTTCCAGTGTAACAGTATAAAAGTCAACCACGTACCCACCCGGGTTTGCTTGTGCAATCAAAGTACGCGGATCAAAGCTACCAACCACTGGCATGCCTTTACATCGTGGTGGTCGATAATTATAAATAAAAGGAAGCATTGATAGATCGGTGTGTCATATGAGATCAAAACTTACCAAACATTTCATCTTTGGCATCAGAGTACAATGCAGAAAGATCTACACCATAAAATGAAGGTTGTTCCCAAAAACGTGCCTTTGCCATAGTCTCACTCCACAATGCAGCATCAGAAAAAGGCGCAAGGAATATGGATCCTGTTGACGGAAAAAGAGTCCCGCCTGGTTTTAAATAAGTATCTCGTGCATAAAGATAACTTTCGAGCTTCAACGATATTAGATTTTTATTTAGTGTTACGAGGATTAAATGAAATGAACACTTGGAAAATATAAAATATGTGATCACTTTCATCATACCATTCTTTCGTGAATTAAAAGGACACCGATTGGCTCAGAAATAATGGTATCCACTTTGGGGATCGGAAGGTCCGGGTCCTCAATCTTGGCTATAAAAGAAAAGCGTACATATTATGATTAGAATGAAGATGGATACTTCAGTAATTTAAGCAATTCTGAATTAAATATCAAGAATAAACCTTGAATGACTTCAATTTTATCTTTAAGAAAAGCATTCTTAGCTAAGGCTTCAGACTCGGCTGCATTTGCGGCTTCAACAAGTTTTCGCATTTTCTCAGCCATTTGTGAGGCCTCAACAGCATACACTTTCTGTGCACCTGCCTGTACCGCAAAGTATGATAAGATCCCCGAGCCTTTGATAATATGGTATGTATAAATGCTTTAGCTTATGAACTAACATAAATTTTAATAATATAGGGAAGTACTAACCAGCACCAACGTCCAAAACTAATTTGTCATGAAAGCATAGAGGGCCATTTAGCAGAATGGCAGAACGGTAAGTAGAGGTACGTACAGTATCTTGAAGCATATTTTGCTGTTTAAAACAAAACTCTCTATTTAACAAGGCCACCAGGAGTTTTCTTTAACTTGTTGGAACTAACAGTTCTTGAATGCTTGAAAACCACCTGATGCTGTAGCATGGCATAATAAGAAAAATAAGCCGGATCGCGCCCTTCTGTCGAAGGGATTTTCCCGTTCACGAGTGGATCGTCCGTCTCTGACAGCATTTTGGCTCGGTAATATTTACTCTAAAGTTAACTTGATAAATTAAAAAGAAAGGTCTTTGTTTTAATAAAAACGGGCTTTAATGTCGTGTAACTATCACGTGTTACACTCGAGTCTTTTTACCACGCACATCATATCTTTTGCATATCTGATATCTGATATTAGTACGTACGTAAGGGAATTTATTGTTCTCCCAAATAAGATAAGAAGATTGTCGTACACTTGTGTTCTAATATTTTCGATAAAAGAATATTTTATAAGCTCGGTTTTGTTGAGCATTTAATAACTTGTCAACGATTCATAACTGCCGACGACAAAATTTTCCTTCTTAATGTCTTGTTTGTTAGGTTGTAGTAGTAGTGATTAGGATTGGTTTAACCTATAACTATTCAAAGTGATTATCGTTATCGCTACGTATGCAGTCCTTTGTGACCACGTTTTTGGTCACAATAATACATTACGTACTCAAAACAATACATTGGATCACCAACTATTATTGGAAATTTCTAGTGTTAATTTAATTTCTAGTAATTTCAATTTGGTGTTCCCATTTTTTCTAGCACATTCTATATCTAATTATTATTAGATATAAAAAATCTCATTTCATACTTTATTTATCCATCTTCTTTTAACAAAGAATAATGCCTATCCGCACGTATTTTGACATTGATATCGATGGTCGGCATGAGGGCCGAATAGTTTTTGAATTGGTAATAAATATTTACAGTAACTCTTGAAATTTAAATATAAAGAGTGCAGTGTGACTAAAAGCAATATATGTACAGTTCGATGATGTTGTACCAAAAACAGCAGAAAATTTTCGTGCACTTTGTACAGGTAAAATCGATCTTATGAATTTCGGTAGATCACATGACCTTATAAGTAGAACACAATTTATTTTTGTAGGAGAAAAGGGTAATACTGCATCAGGAATACCATTGCACTATAAAGGATCTATATTTCATCGTGTGATTAAGGTTAGTAGCATTTTGGTAGTAACGAATAAAGTTTCTTGTAAAAGGAATTCTGATTATTCTGTAAAGTAGAATTTCATGTGCCAAGGTGGTGATTTCACAAAAGGAAATGGTACTGGAGGTGAAAGCATTTATGGTGAAAAATTCGAAGGTAAATATAAAAAATTAGTCATTATTACACAACCATTGCTAATGTTATAATAATGTTTAGATGAGGCTTTTGAATATAAGCATGATCAGCCTTTTCTCTTGTCGATGGCGAATGCCGGTCCTGGCACCAATGGATCACAATTTTTCATCACTACAAATAAAGTATTGTATCCAATTTCTTCATTTGTCCTTGTCAATTGTGTTAATCGTTTTTTACGATTAATTGTAGGCTGAACATTTGGACGGAAAACATGTGGTTTTTGGTAAAGTGATCAAAGGTAAATCTGTCGTTCGTGCCATTGAAGCTGTTAACACTGCAGGCGAGACACCGGTAAAAACCATCACGATTGCTGATTGTGGAGAATTAAAGGAAGGTGAAGATGACGGCATACCGCAATTAACGGACGGTGACGTGTACGAAGATTGGCCTGGTAATATTTCATTTTTAATATTAAATATTTCAATTAAAGAGATATTTACATATAATTTTATATATAGAGGATCAAGGGTCCTTAGAACAAAATGAATTGCTTCAAATCGCAAAGAAAGTAAAAGATATCGGTAATGATTATTTCAAAAAGGCTGAATACGAAATTGCGACTAAAAAGTATTCAAAGGTAGAAAACTAATTATCATTTATAGTTTTAATCAAACATAAACAAATGAATTATTTTATTCTCCATATTTAAGGCTATTCGATATTTGGATGCGAATTCAGGTTCTGATGAAGATGATGATTCAGCAAAGCTTCCTGATGAATTTTACGAACTAAAAGTTTCATGCTACTTAAATAAAGCAGCATGTTCGCTTAAATTCAACGAATGGGGTGATGTCGTTCAAGCCGCAAACGTGGTATTAGAAATGCCTGAAAAAGTGTTATCACCCATAATTCGGACTAAAGCATTATTTAGACGTGGTTCGGCAAAAGTTGGTATGAAAGATGAGGAAGAAGCAATTAAAGATTTGCAAGAAGCTGCCAAATTAAATCCAGATGATCCTGCCATCACTAAAGAGTTGGTTGTTGCCAAGCAACGACTCGCCAGTAGGGAAAAAGCGCAAAAGAAAGCTTATAGTAAATTTTTTGAATAAAAATGAATGAGTATTACCATCGTGCTAAAAGATAACAATAATTAATAAAAATAAATTAAAAGTTAACATATTAAAGGTTTAATCAATGTTTGCAGTTAAAGTTCGATGTTTTAAAATACGTATACAGTATAATCTACTATTACTTTTTACTAAAATACAGTAGATTTATAATATACCGTATTACTATTTATATAGTATACTGTAATTCCAAAAATTGGCTAATTAATTGGTATAATATTTTCTAAATAAAATGCTTTATGATTTTAAAAACACATTCTAATTTTTTTTAAAAAGTTTAGCGACTTGTTAGGATGTTTTATTGAGTTTTAATTCTTATGTATTACATTATATATTACAATATCAATATTAACTACCTAAATTTTTAACGTTTAATTTTACTTGGTTGCTTCTTGAATATTATTTACCTGCATTGCCTAAATGCTCTTACAAACCAAAACTCAAATCAAACTTTTATATGAGTGCTGTTAGAAGAAAACCTGTTATTGGACTTTTAATTATATTTTGTATATCTATTACCAATATTTGTAGTGTAATATAGTATTAATAATAATTGATCTTATATGCGTATATATATACAAAATGTGTATTTTAAGAACTTATAAACTGTTGCTAACAATGTTGTTAAAATTATTTTTTTTAATATATATATATATATTATATTTTGTTTTTTTTGATTAATATTATTAAAGTCAATGTTTATAACTGTTATTACTTTTATTGTGGTTTCAATTATATATAATTATTGAACTGCTTCAGAAATGAGTATAATTTCTTAACAAAGTTTAACAGAAACTATACTTCTTTCTTGAACATTGCATATATTTGTAAGAGATTTTCTATATAATATTATTGTTATAATATAAAAATAAAAAAATTTTTATTCTATGACAATAAAATTTTAACAACTAATTTTAGCAATATATTTTTTAAATTTATTTTATTAATTTTATTAAAAAATTTTTTCAAATTTATTTTAATAATTATTATTATTATTTTTTTTGCTTTTACTAAGGTCATTAGTTATTGACAGCTATTGTCTTTATTGTGATTTTAATTATAATTATATAATTTGTACAAGGTTACCCTTATATTATATCTAACAGATAGTGTACAAGTTCTTGTACACTGAAGTATCATCTAACTAACTCTGATTTCCTTGTCTGTATATCTGTCAAGTCATTATATATTTCAAAGTATATTACTTAATTATAAGATTCCAGAAAGTCTTTTTGCTAACTAACTACTTATATTTAATCCTTGTTAACAAAACTTATTTTTGTAAAGTTTATCTAGACCTTAGTATTAATTTCATAAGTACTTAGTTATACTTTGCTTTAGTCATTAGACTTCTAATCCAGATAGCTCAGAAGGACTATAATCTGTTTCTAGTATTTAAGGATTTGCTTTTTAAGATTTTTTTCTTCTAGTTCAAGATTTTTGACAGTTTGATTGGTAATACCTCTTATTTAAGATTCTTGTTTGCTTAATTTCTTCTATATTAATATTCATTTTCTAGGTCTAGTCTTTATAGTAATATCATTAAAGATCTATATTACTTCTGTGTTCAAGTCTTCTCAAGTAGGTTTTAGTTTTTTAGTTTTATAGATTTATATTACTACAAGAACTTAATTTGAATTTGCATTACTTGATATTAGTTTGAATTTTTTTGTGTAATTCTAATATTGTACAGATACTCTATGATCTGCCAGTTATATTAGTATAATTATAGTTACAGGTATCTTATCTTGACTAATTAATAGAATGCTGTTATTATAATATCATCTATATATTACATAGGTGATTATTCAAATTTTCAAGTTGGTAAGTTTTGAACTCACTACCTATTATTTAAAAAGTTGATAACTTATTAATTTCACTAAGTTATCACATTTCATTATTTTAATAATTAAATTTAAAGTTTAAAATATATGTTAATTTAGTAAAATAAAAAAGTTGTTATCTTTTTAAATAACAGATTATAAGTTCAAAACTTATTAAAAACAAAAATTTTTGGTTTATACTTAATAACAAACAATCTCAAGTTATCAAACTAATAAAAGAAGAGGGTTATAATCTTATTAATATCACCAGTACAAAAAAAATTATTAACAAACAAATTGCTTATATTATTAATATAATAATTATTCCAACTCTGGAATATTGACTACATAATATTATTCTTCTTTACCCTACATGTAACCAAATCTTATCTAAATACCTTACTGTAACAAAACACAAGTTTCATCTTTCCAGATCTATACCAAATAGCACAATGTTTAATCCATATTTATATAATATTTATAATATATAGAACATTCAATTTTAGTATCATATCTCTAACTATTTTCAACAAATCAACAACTCTGATCTTCTTGGTATTACATATTGAATTAGACTTCAACAACTACAAATAATTCATGGTCTCTTATTAATATTTTATATCACTCTAAACCAATTATTGATGGTCTTAATAGACATTTATTAAACTTTAAAATTATTTAACTTTTATTTATCTTGGCTTAGTAATCTCAGCTAACCCTAATATTATATGGCTCCATACAATTAGTAATGAAGACCAGTTACTAGAATCAATTTTATTTCAGTATTCTAAATATTTAATCTTTAAAAAACAATTTAGACAATCTAATATTATTTATCTTGAACAACTCTGCATAGCTAATAACAGTATCTTATTAGATTGAAAACATCTTTTACCTAGACTTTTATTTTTGTCTAAGAGAAAAAAACCTCTTTGGTTTTTCTACTTAGAAGATACAATTTTAATATACTCTTATTACTGAAATATACTATCATACTACTAATTACCTGGTTATAACCCTTATGCTTATTATACCATTAATACATCTAAAAAACTTACAAAATCTAAACTTTGGTTACTTTCATATTACAATGAAGAAATTATTATTAGAAAAATATAAAAATATTTTCTCTCATCTAATCATTATTCTATTACTCACTGAACTTCCAATATAGATTTAAATTACTCAAAATTCTATCTTTACCTCTTGCCAAATACAAATGATGTACAGAATATCACCTTAATTCTTACATAATTAATCAAACTTATATTGTTGAAGTCTCTGCTATTATTTCAATACAATTTCTTGGCAAAACTAATTTCAAACACCAACTCAATCTCAATGCAAATTACTTGGACCTTATCTGCTCTATAGCTGTCAAGTATTTAACCTGTATTCCTCCTTTATCTATAATTTCTATTTCTAATTCAATTATTTCTGAAATCTTTATTCTAAGTAAAACTATTAACAAACTCATATCTATCTCTCAACATAACTACTCTCTTACCAACAACTATCCTTTTATACCAATGGCTCAGTAATCGATATTAGTACTAACCAATATACAATAGGTATTGGTTGGATCCAAGTTGATAACAATAATCAAACTATTAACTCCTTTTCTGCTAAAATACAATTTTGGCTCTTATTATATAAAGCTAAGCTTCTCTCAATTATTACTACAATCTTAACAGTTCTATGCAATTCTATAGTTAATATTTTTATTGATTCTCAATCAGTAATTTTCAAATTTAATAACCTCCAACTTTACTCAAATCATCCTAATAAGTTATTCAAATTTAGTTCATGGCCTATTTGGTATACTCTTTTTAATATTATTAAATCATACAAATTACAAATTATTTTTCACAAAATGCAATCCCATTCAGATAATAATCTTAATGAGCAAGCAAACTCTCTTGCAAACAACATTTATTATTACTTCTTCTTTCATTTAATTACACAAACCTTTATAATTTTTATTATATTCTTCAATAAGAATAACATTACATAGAACTTTCTACAAGATATTTTATTAAGCAAATATATAAAACCCACATATTAGCTATATAGGCATCTCAAAAATATAATAGTGAGTGGTCATACTTCAATCAGGATATTGACTGAAGATCCACTTGGTTCTATTTTAATTATAATCAAAAACCTTTACACAATATTACTAATTTTAGACTCAATCAACTAAAATCTTTTAAAATCAAAATTCTTTTTAACAAGTTATCAACATACCAACTATTTCATACTATTTACCCAAACCAATATCTAGATACTAATTGCTTTCATTGTAATCTACCTAACTCTCATTCTCACTGACATACTTGCACTAATACACTTTTACTTAACTAAATTATTTAAACATCTACTAATCAAATTATCTCTAACAAATTACTTAATCTTAATACTCACCAAAAAAATAATCTAATTTATAAAATCCTTCATCACCCAGCTTTCAACTTGTTATACATTTTATCTAATACATTTTATCCTAACCTTACTCTTAAAAAACTTATTTCAAAGTCATTCATATTAACAGTTCAAAACTCTGTCATATTATACAAAACTGTCTCATAAGTTATTATTAATATTTTTCTTAATATTAGAAAACAGAAACTGTTATAAGTCTGAAGCAAAATTACATGAGATTTGTTATGTTACATGAATATGCAAGTGAAGACAGACAGAAAATTCAAAGTACGTTTTTGATATTTTTATTATTAAAGCATCAATAAAGATACTTTTGATGCATCAAAAATGTAACTTTTGTATCACTTTGCATAGAAATTGAACATCCTCTGCTATGCTCCGGACAATTATAAAATTAGCTAATATGACTAATTTATTCTAAAAACTTAAAGTAAAATTCAGAATTATTCTTTTAGATCTTTATAGAAAAACAAATATTTTAATAACATAGTTATTTTCATATAGGACTTTTTTTGTTGCCTCAGATTTATTATTAGTTTTAATTAACTCATCAGAATAATAAGCTGTTATAATGATAACTTTAGCAAGTTTGTTTTTTCATTCTTTTATTTTAAGGCTATCTGGTTACTATTTCTTGATTATAGAATCTTTTACATATATTATATATTGCAAACCAGAAACTTTTCTATTTTTTTTTCTAAAATAAATAAATTAAAT